TGGCACCCCTCACCCCCCACCCCGCGCGCCGCAGTGTGCGGCAAGGAGCTCGACTTGCACACACTCTACACGCGTGTCACCAGCCACGGTGGCCTCGAAGCGGTGAGCGGCCGGCTGCTGCGACCGCGCGGGCCCAGGTTGAGCCGGGCCGTGTGATGGAGGCCGCGTCGCCGTCATGCATTGGGCTAGGGTTTCGGCGCCTCTGCATGTCGCCGAGCAGCGAGGCAACACGCTTCCCCCAACCGCCTCAGCTCAGCCAGCGGCGCCCGCGGCCGGCCGCGCAGCCGCCGGCCGCCGCGCCCGAGCTACGCCAACCAAAGCGGCCACCACCTTACCCCCCTGGTCCGCTGGGCCTGCCAGGTTATCGCCAACCGCAAGTGGACCGATGTCTGCGACCCCTTCAATTTCCCGCCCAGCTTCACTTCCAAGAGCTTCACGGTCCGGAAGATCTACAGCCAGTTCCTGCACCACTTTGAGCAGGTGTACTACCACCGCAGTGCCGGTCAGCCGCTGGCGGACCCTCCAACGCCGCCGCCGCAGCAGGGCGGCAAGGGCGGGGCCGCGGGCGCGGGCGCGGCGGGCGCGGCGGCGGCGGCGGCGCAGCAGGAGGAGCAGCAGGAGGATGCGCGGCAGATGTCATCAGAGCTGGAGATGAGGTGAGGCGGTTAGAGCTGTTGCTGGAGCGCGTAGCAGCTGGCACACACGTGGACGCCGCGCAATTGTGCGCGCTCCCAGGCGCTCACTTCAGGCGCTCATTTGTCCCCCTGCTGTGATTCGCCCCTGTGCCAACACCCGCCTCAGGCCGAACGACTCAGCAGTGGACGCCCTGGGGCCGCCGCAGGCCGACCAGGCGCGTGGCGACGCGCCGCCCGCCAAGCGCGCGCGCCGCGAGCCGCCGGCGCTCGCTGCGGCCTCGCAGTCCCCAGATGCCTCGGCGGCCGCCACGCCGCTGGCCGGCGGCGGCGCGGCAGCGGCGTTCGCGGTTGCGGTCACTAGTGACGCAGGGGCGGATGGCGAGGCCGAGGTGGAAGCCGGGACTGTGCTGGCGCTCGGCATTCCTGTTGGGAACGGCGGCGGCGGCGGCGGCGGCGGCGACGGCGGCGGCATTGGCGTCGGCAGTGCCGGCGGCGGCGGCGGCAGCGGCAGTGGCGGCGGTGGAGGGGATCGCACGGGCCCGGTTGCTGTGGGCGGGCTGGAGCCCCGGTTGGCGGACGGCACGCAGGTATCCCCTTTGGGACCCACCCCGGGCCTCGCGCCACCCCCGCCGCCTGAGGCGCCGGGCGCCCCTGCAGCTGGGGAAGCTGCTGGCGCTGGCGCTGGCGGCGGCGGCAGCGGCGGCGGTGGGGCCGGCACGGCCAGCGAGCCGGCGCTGCAGCCCGTCGCCGTCCCCGGGCTGCCACACCTCCTTTTTGGAATCGACGCCGCGCCTGCGAGCGCCGCCGCGGCGGCGCCGCTCCTGTCCCTCGCCCCCGCCGCCACGTCGGCGCAGGCGGCGCTCCCGCCGGCGGCGGCCGCGCCGCTGACGCCGTTGCCGCCGCCGGAGCGACCACCGGAGCTCGTCGCGTTTGCTGCGCAGCCGATGGCGGCGCACGGAGTCAAAGACCTGACGGGCCTCGCGGTGGAGGGCACGGTCGACGCTCGCTTCGACGTCGGTTACTTTGTATCACTAAACGTGGGCGGCTGCCACTTCAGGGGCATCCTATACTGCCCGATGGCCGGCCAGCTCGGCCCCGCGACAGGGCACCCGCTGCCGGGCGCCGCGTCGCCGACGGCGCCCTGCAGCGCGGGCGG